TCACCGTTTTTGGGTTTTTTTCCCCCAGCTCCGTGGGGCCGGCGGGGCTGGTTTGGGGTGGATTTTGTGGGAATTTCATGGGATTTTGTGGGAATTTCATGGGATTTTGTGGGAACCATGTTGGGATTTCACCGTTTTTGGGTTTTTTCCCCCCAGCTCCGTGGGGCCGGCGGGGCTGGTTTGGGGTGGATTTTGTGGGAATTTCATGGGATTTTTTTGGGCCCATGTTGGGATTTCACCGTTTTTGGGTTTTTTGGGATTTTGTGGGAATTTCATGGGATTTTGTGGGAATTCCATGGGATTTTGTGGGAATTCCATGGGATTTTGTGGGAATTCCATGGGATTTTGTGGGAATTTAATGGGATTTTTTTGGGCCCATGTTGGGATTTCACCGTTTTTGGGTTTTTCCCCCCAGCTCCGTGGGGCCGGCGGGGCTGGAAGCGTTTCCGGGCCGAGCTGCGGGGGTCGCTGCTGCTGCTGCAGAGGGACCCCCCCGAGGGCCCCCAGGAGGTTTTGGGGCTGCCCCACGCCCTGGCCCGGCCCCACCCCACGTACAGCAAGCGCCCCAACGTGTTCCTGCTGCGCGCCGCCGACCGGCGCGAGTTCCTCTGCCAGGCCCAGTAAGGCACCCCAAAAACGCCACCGGGGGGAGAAAGGGTGAAAAAGGGAGGAAATCCCAAAAAAAAAAATGGGAAATAGAAAAAAAATAATCCCGTGAGGATAAAGGGTGAAAAGTGGCAAGTGTGGGGAAATGGAAAATACTAAAAAAGGGTGAAATGAGGCGAGAAGTGTAATGGTAAAAAAATCTCTCAAATCTTAAAAAAGTCCCAAAAATGATGAAGAAATGGTAAATCCTAAAAATAATCCTGAAAGGGTGAATGGCTTGGAAAGGGTAAAAAAAAATCTAAATGCTAAAAAAATGCTATATACTAAAAAAAAACCAAATCCTAAAAAAAAAACCAACCAAACCTAAAAAAATCCCAATCCTAAAAAAATCCCAAATCCTAAAAAAAAAAAAAAAAAAAAAAAACAAAACTAAAAAAATCCCAATCCTAAAAAAAGTCCCAAATCCTAAAAAATAATTTGGGATACTTTTGGGGTATTTTTCGGATTTTTTGGGGGTATTTTGGGGATATTATTGGGGTAAAATCGGGGTATTTTTGGGAGGTATTTTGGGGGGAATTTTGGGGGGATTTTTGGGGGTATTCTCGGGGATATTTTTGGGGATTTTTGGGGGTATTTTTAGAGGTATTCTTGGGGTATTTTTGGGATATTTTTGGGGCACCTTTGTGGGTATTTTGGGGCTCTCTGTTTTTTTTGCAATATTTGGGGTTTTTGCGCCGTGCGGCGGGCGCGGCGTCGCGATGACGTCACCGGTGACGTCACGGTGACGTCACAGGAGCCCCCAGGAGCTGTCCCAGTGGGTGTTCGGGATCAACGTGGCCGCCGCCCTCTGCTCGTCCCCCCCGTTCCCCGCGGCCGTCGGCTCCCGGCGCCGCTTCGTGAGACCCATCCTGCCCTCGGCGCCCAGCCGCTGCCCCCCGGTGAGAAACAGCCCAAAAATATCCTAAAAACCCAAAAAACCCCAGTGAAATATCCCGTATCCCATGGAAACCCCAATGCCATCCTGCCCTCGGCGCCAGCCGCTGCCCCCCGGTGAGAAACACCCCAAAAACACCCCAAAAATACCCCAAAAACCCCATTGAAATATCCCGTATCCCATGGAAACCCCATCCCATCCTGCCCTCCGCCCCAGCCGCTGCCCCCCGGTGAGAAACACCCCAAAAATATCCTAAAAACCCAAAAAACCCCAGTGAAATATCCCGTATCCCATGGAAACCCCATCCCATCCTGCCCTCCGCGCCAGCCGCTGCCCCCCGGTGAGAAACGCCCCGAAAATCTCACAAAAAATATCCTAAAAACCCAAAATACCCCACAGAAACACCCAAAAACCCCACTGAAATATCCCCTATGCCACGGAAACCCCAAATCCCAAAAAACCCCAAAATACCCATAAAAACCCAAAAATCCCAAAAACCCCAAAAATGACCCCAGTGTCCCTGTGCCACCCCAATATCCCCAATGTCCCCAATGTTCCCAGTGTCCCTGTGCCACCCCAATGTCCCCAATGTCCCCAGGAGCAGCAGCTGTGCCAGCTGCGCCGCTGGCTGGGGACGGTGACGTGCCAGCTCCTGGAGCACCAGCGGCTCCTGCCCGAGGGACGGGGACGGGAGCAGGAGGAGCACCGGGCACACGGGGACTTCCTGAGGGACGAGGTGACACTGGGGACATGGGGACATGGGGGTGGCACAGGGGACATTGGGGATATTGGGGACACTGGGGACACCGGGCCACTGGGACTTCCTGTGGGATGAGGTGACACTGGGGACAGAGGGGACATTGGGGGAAATGGGGACAGTGGGGACACCGGGCACACGGGGACTTCCTGCGCCAGGAGGTGACAATGGGGACACTGGGGAGGCACAGGGGACATTGGGGACACTGGGGACAGAGGGACTCTGAAATATCCCCTATGCCACGGAAACCCCAAATCCCAAAAAACCCCAAAATACCCATAAAAACCCAAAAATCCCAAAAACCCCAAAAATGACCCCAGTGTCCCTGTGCCACCCCAATATCCCCGATGTCCCCAATGTTCCCAGTGTCCCTGTGCCACCCCAATGTCCCCAATGTCCCCAATGTCCCCAGGAGCAGCAGCTGTGCCAGCTGTGCCGCTGGCTGGGGACGGTGACCCCGATGTCCCCAATGTCCCCAATGTCCCCAGGAGCAGCAGCTGTGCCAGCTGCGCCACTGGCTGGGGACGGTGACCCCGATGTCCCCAATGTCCCCAATGTCCCCATTGGTGTCCCCAATGTCCCCAGGAGCAGCAGCTGTGCCAGCTGCGCCGCTGGCTGGGGACGGTGACGTGCCAGCTCCTGGAGCACCAGCGGCTCCTGCCCGAGGGACGGGGACGGGAGCAGGAGGAGCACCGGGCACACGGGGACTTCCTGAGGGACGAGGTGACACTGGGGACATGGGGACATGGGGGTGGCACAGGGGACATTGGGGATATTGGGGACACTGGGGACACCGGGCCACTGGGACTTCCTGAGGGATGAGGTGACACTGGGGACAGAGGGGACATTGGGGGAAATGGGGACAGTGGGGACACCGGGCACACGGGGACTTCCTGCGCCAGGAGGTGACAATGGGGACACTGGGGAGGCACAGGGGACATTGGGGACACTGGGGACAGAGGGACTTCCTGCTGCAGGAGGTGACAACGAGGAGCCTGGGGACAGAAGGGACATTGGAGGGATGGGGACACTGGGGACAGAGGGGACAAAAGGGACACAGGGGACAGCGGGGACAGGGTGACACTGGAAGGTGCCACCGAGGTGCCACCAAGGTGCCACTGAGGTGACTCAGGTGTGACACGGTGACACTGGGAGGTGACACTGGGGTGCCATTGAGGTGACATAGGGAGTGACAGTGGGGTGACATTGCGGTGACCCGGGGGGGTGACACGGTGACATTGGGGGGTGCCACCTCGGTGCCACCCTGGTGACCTGCGTGTCCCTGTCCCCGCAGCGCCAGCGCTGCCTCACCTACGTGCAGGCGCTGGGGACGTGGCTGCGCGGGGACAGCGGGGACAGTGCCACCCTTGGGGACAGCCAGGAGCTCGGGGACATCCCCGAGTGCCCCCTTGGGGACAGCCCGGAGTGTCCCCACGTCCCCGCGCCGCTCACCAAGTGCCACTCGAGTCCCTCGCTGGCCCCGGAGCCGCCCCTGGGCCGCGTGCGGCGCCACATCTCGGAGCGCAGGGCCACCCGTGTCACCGTCCCCAAGCGCCACCGGGACCGCCCGTGACAGACCTGGATTGTCCCCCAGGATTGTCCCCAAGTGCCACCCGGAGCGGCTGTGACACCCCCGTGGGGACCCTGCCACCACGTGCCACCCCAGGGACAAGGGACACTCCCAATGTCCCCAATGCTGTCCCCAATGTCCCCTCCCCCCCTGGTACGAGGCTTTTGGGGGGTCCCGCTCTGAGCACCCCCCCCCCCCGGGATTGGGAACAACTCAGGGAAATCCCAAAAATCCCAAAAACCCCGTTCCCAAAATTCCCAAAAATCCCATTCCCAAAAATCCCATTCCCAAAGGAATTTTGGGGGATTTTGGGGGAGAATTTGGGATTCCCCCGCTGCGGCTGTGCAATAAAGGTTCAGAATTCCGGAATTTTGGAGAATTTTGGGATGGGGGAGGGAGGCATTTTGGGAAGAGGGAAAATGGGGATGGATTTCTGAGCCTGGAGATCCCAGCTTTTCCCAAATTCCCAAAAAAACGCCGCAAAATCCCAAAGGAACTCCTGGATCCCAAATTCCTTGGACCCCAAACTCCTGGGATCCCAAACTCCCGGATCCCAAATTCCCCAATCCCAAACTCTCCGATCCCAAACTCCTGTAGTCCCAAATTCCCCGATCCCAAACTCCCCAGCTGATCCCAAAGCCCTCAATTGATCCCAAACCCTTCAATGGATCCCAAATCCCTCAGCCGATCCCAAACTCCCCACCGGATCCGAAACCCCTCAGTCAATCCCAAGCTCCCCAGCGGATCCCAAAGCCTCGATGGATCCCAAACTCCTGGATCCCAAATTCCCCGATCCCAAACTCCCCAGCTGATCCCAAAGCCCTCAATTGATCCCAAACCCTTCAATGGATCCCAAATCCCTCAGTCGATCCCAAGCTCCCCACCGGATCCGAAACCCCTCAGTCAATCCCAAGCTCCCCAGCGGATCCCAAACCCTTCAATGGATCCCAAACTCCTCAATGGATCCCAAAGCTCTCAGTCGATCCCAAGCTCCCCACCGGATCCCAAAGCCCCCAGTGGATCCCAAACCCCTCAATGGATCCCAAAGCCCTCAGTCGATCCCAAAGCCCTCAGTCGATCCCAAGCTCCCCAGCGGATCCCAAAGCCTCGATGGATCCCAAGCTCCTGTCGGGTCCCTGTGGGATCCGGGGGTTTTGGGCCACCCTGGTTTTTATTGGCTGTGGGGCAGGAGCAGGACCCCAAAGCCAGTCCAGCCCCACAAACCCAACAGGCTGGGGACACTGCGGGGCCTGGGGACGTGGGAAGGGTCGGGAGAACTTGAGAAAGTTCTGGAGGATATCTGGGAAGGTTTTGGAGAACACTGGATGGTCCTGGAGAACCCTGGGTGATCCTGGAGGCCATGGGAGGGTCCTGGAGACCCCCAAGATCTCCTGGAGGCCCCCAAGGTGTCCTGGAGGCCACAGGAAGCTTCTGGAGGCCATGGGAAGGTTCTGGAGAACACTGGGTGATCCTGGAGATCATGGGAAGGTTCTGGAGAACATTAGGTGATCCTGGAGGCCCCTGAGATCTCCTGGAGGTCCCCAAGGTGTCCTGGAGGCCACGAGAAGGTTCTGGAGAACACTGGGTGATCCTGGATGCCCTTGAGGTGCCCTGGAGGACACAGGAAACTTCTGGAGGCCAGGGGGAAGTTGTGCCAAGCATTGGGTGATCCTGGAGGTCCCCTTGGTGTCCCTGGAGGTCCCCTCGGTGTCCTGGAGGTCCCCGTGGTGTCCCCGGTGTGGCTCAGAGGCCGTCGGGGCGCTGGTAGTGCCAGAAGGCGATGTCCCCGTCGTCCCCGCAGGAGGCCAGCAGCCCCGGCTCCCGCGGGTGCCAGGCCACCCCGTTGGCGTCCTGGGCGTGCGCCCGCGGCACGTGGGCGGCCAGGCTGAACGTCACCGGAGAGCCCGGGGCCACCGGGGCCACCTCCTCGAACACCCGCACCGCGTCGTCACCGCACGCCGTGGCCACCGCGCCCGTCAGGTGGCACCTGCGGGGACAGGGAGGGTCACGGAGGGGACAGGTGGCACCTGGGGACACAGGGAGGGGACAGGTGGCACCTGGCAGGGACAGGGGTCAGGTGGCACTTGAGCAGGGATAGGGGACAGGGGTCAGGGAAGGGTGAGGTGGCATCTGGGGTGATAGAGGGGACAGGTGGCACCTGTGGGGCACAGGAAGGGGACAGAGGGGTCAGGGAGGTGGCACCTGGAGGGTCACAGAACCCCAGTGAGGTGTCCCCAGGTCTCTCCAGTGTCCCCAGATGTCCCCAATGTCCCCAGTGCTCACCAGGCCACGTCGTAGATGCTGCGCCCGTGGTACCCGGACAGGGTGCAGACACACTGCCAGCTGTGCTCCGAGCCACTGCCTGGGGACACGGGGACACATTGGGGACATCGGGGACATCAGGGACAGCGGGAACATCGCACTGCCCACCCCCACAGGGTGTGGTCATCGCTGCAGGACACCAGGCCCTGTCCCCATGTCCCTGTCCCCATGTCCCCTGTCCCTCACCGTGTCCCTGGCTGCGCTGCCACACGCGCAGGGTGCGGTCATCGCTGCAGGACACCAGGCCTGTCCTCATGCCCCCATGTCCCCAGTGTCCCCATGTCCCTGTCCCCTGTCCCTCACCGTGTCCCTGGCTGCGCTGCCACACGCGCAGGGTGCGGTCATCGCTGCAGGACACTAGGCGCTGGCCGGAGCGCTCCCAGGCCACTGCCCACACGGTGGACGTGTGTCCCTCCAGGGTGGCACAGCACACCCAGTCGTCCTCGTCCTCGCGGTACAGCCGCACCGTGTCGTCGTAGCTGGCGCTGGCCAGCAGCTGGGGACAGCAATGGGGACACTGGGGACACTGGGGACAGGAATGAGACCCTGGCAGGTTTTGGGGGCCTGGGGCTCTCTGGGGTTCCTGTGGGAGTTTGGGGTGTCCCCAGGTGTACCCCAGGGGTGTCTCCAGGTGTCCCAGGTCCCCCCAGGTGTGTCCCCAGGTCCCCCCAGCTACTGCCAGATGTGTCCCCATGTTCCCCAGGTGTCCCCAGGTGTCCCCAGGTGTCCCTGTGTTCCCATGACCCCAGGTGTCCCCAGGTACCCCCAGGTCCCCCCAGGGGTCCCCGTGTCCCCCAGGTGTCCCCAGGTGTCCCCGTGTCCCCAGGTGTCCCCATGTCCCCCAGGTGTCCCTGTGTCCCCGTGTCCCCCAGGTCCCTCCAGGGGTCCCCGTGTCCCCCAGGTGTCCCCAGGTGTCCCCAGGTGTCCCCGTGTCTCCGGGTACCTCCTGGCTGGGGTGCCACACCACGTGTTTGACGTCCTGGCTGTGGGCGCTCAGCACGCTGACGCACTCGAACTCCTGCTCCTCCTCGTCCACTGAGGGCACAGGGGACAGTGAGGGGACAGCAGGGTCACAGGGGACACCGAGGGGACACCTCGGGTCACAGGGACACCGAGGGGACAGCGGGCAGAGCTCACCCTCCCAGACCCAGACGCTCTTGTCACGGCTGCAGGTGGCCAGCAGCGACCCCGAGGGCGCCCAGGCCACCGACTTCACCTCGTTCTCGTGTCCCTCCAGCGTGGCCACCACCTGCGGGGACAGACACCGTGGTGACACGGCGGGGAAAGGGTCTGGGGGGCACGGGGGGGTCTGGGGGAGGTCTGGGGGGCACAGGTGACAATGGGGCAGAACAGGTGGGACACAAGCGACAACAGGGGCGTAGAGGTGACAGTGAGGGGGTACACACGTAACACTGAGGTGACACAAGTGACAAGGGGGGGTTCCCAGGTGGCAATGGGGGTGTACAGGTGACACTGAGGGAACACAGGGGACACTGAGGGCACACAGGTAACACAGGTGACACGAGGGGATACAGGTGACACTGAGGGCACACAGGTGACACTGGTGACAATGTGGGGGGTGCCCAGGTGACACTGAGGGCACACAGGTGACACTGGTGACAATGTGGGGGGTGCCCAGGTGACACTGAGGGCACACAGGTGACACTGAGAGTACGCAGGTAACACAGGTGACACTGAGGGCACACAGGTAACACAGGTGACACTGAGGGCACACAGGTAACACAGGTGACACTGAGGGCACACAGGTAACACAGGTGACACTGAGGGCACACAGGTAACACAGGTGACACTGAGGGCACACAGGTAACACAGGTGACACTGAGGGCACACAGGTAACACAGGTGACACTGAGGGCACACAGGTAACACAGGTGACACTGAGGGCACACAGGTAACACAGGTGACACTGAGGGCACACAGGTAACACAGGTGACACTGAGGGCACACAGGTAACACAGGTGACACTGAGGGCACACAGGTAACACAGGTGACACTGAGGGCACACAGGTAACACAGGTGACACTGAGGGCACACAGGTAACACAGGTGACACTGAGGGCACACAGGTAACACAGGTGACACTGAGGGCACACAGATGACACCGGGGTGACACAGGCGACACACAGGTGACACCGGGGTGACACGGGTGACACGAGGGGGTGACGCCGCGGTGCCGCGGGGGCCGTGTCCCACCTCGAAGCCGTGCTCGTGGCGCCTCCAGACGCACGTGGTGCCGTCGAAGCTGGCCGAGGCCAGGAGCTGCCCGCACGGCGACCACGCCACCCTGCGCACCGTGCGCTGGTGCCCGTCCGCCAGCACCGCGCGGCACGCCCAGCCCGAGCCTGCCACCGGGCACGGCACACTCAGGGGACACCGGGACACCGGGACAGAGCCCTGCCCCAGCACTGCCCAGCCCGAGCCTGGCACCGGGCACGGGACACTCGGGACACCGGGGACACCGGGACACAGCCCTGCCGGTGTCCAGCCCTGCCGGTGTCCAACACTGCCCCAGCACCGCCCAGCCCGAGCCTGCCACCGGACACGGGACACTCAGGGGACACTCGGGACACCGGGACAGAGCCCTGCCAGCCCGGTGTCCAGCCCGGTTCCCCCGCACGGTGCGCTCCCGGTTTCCCCACATCCTCACGCGCGGTCCCGTTCCCGTTCCCATTCCTGGTCCCGTTCCCGTTCCCGTTCCCATTCCCGGTCCCGTTCCCATTCCCGGTCCCGGTCCCGTTCCCATTCCCGTTCCCATTCCCGTTCCCGTTCCCGTTCCCATTCCCGGTCCCGTTCCCGTTCCCGGTCCCGTTCCCGTTCCCGTTCCCGGTCCCGGTCCCGGTCCCCGCTCACCCTCACGGCCCCAGACGCGCACGGTGCGGTCCCCGCCGCAGGACGCCAGCAGGGCCCCGCTGGGGCTCCAGGCCAGGGCCCAGCAGCGGGACTCGGGGTGCGCGGACACCCGGCACAGCAGCGACAGCGCCTCGGGCATGGCGGCACGGCACCGGCACCGCCACCAGCACCGACAGCCCCACCGGAAGCGGAACCGGAGCGGCGCCGGAAGCGGAACCGAGCAGGAAGCGGAAGCGCGGCGGGCGGGGCGGGGCCGTGAGGAGGGCCCGGAGGCGCTGCCGGGGCCCGGCGGGGTCGGGATCGGCACCGGCACCGGCACCGCCTGTCCCGGGGCCGCTCTCGGCGTGTCCGGGCCGGGCTCAGCGCGTTCGGAGCGACCGGGATCGGTGTCGGGGACCGGGACCGGTGTCGGAAGCCACTGCCGGTGAAGCCGGGACGGGTGTCAGGGTCCGGGAGCCGGTGCCGGTTATCCCGGAGCGGGTGTCCGTGACGCGGGGAGGGCGCCGCGAGTCGGGAACCGGTACCGGTTATCCCGGGACGGGTGTGGGGGTCCGGGAGCCGGTACCGGTGACCCGGAGCGGCTGTCAGTGCCTCGGTACCGGTGACCCGCGGCGGGTGCGGGTGTTGCTGAGCCGGTACCGGTGATCCAGGGCGGGTGTGTGTTATCTCGGAGCCGGTCCCGGTGACCCGGAGCCGGTGTCAGTGCCCCGGTACCGGGACCCGGGGCAGGCGTCAGTGAATCAGAGCCGGTACCGGGACCCGGGGCTGGTGTTGCTGCGCCGGTACCGGTGACCTGGAGCCGGTGTCCGTTACCCCACTGCCCATCCCAGTCCTGGTGACCCGGAGCCGGTGTCGCTGCCCCGGTCCCGGTCCCGGTGACCCGGAGCCACTGTCCATAACCCCAGTGCCGGTCTCGGTGCCGGGACCCGGTACCGGTAACCCAGAGCAGGTGTCCGTTACCCCAGTCCCGGTGCCAGTCCCAGTCCCGGTGACCCAGACCGGTTGTCCCTAACCCCAGTCCCAGTCCCCGTTCCAGTCCTGGTCCCGGTGACCCAGAGCCGGTGTCCGTAACCCCAGTCCCGGTGCCAGTCCCGGTCCTGGTCCCGGTTCCCTTCCCGGTCCTGGTGACCCAGAGCCGGTGTCCATAACCCCAGTCCCGGTCCCGGTGCTAGTCCCGGTGCCAGTCCCAGTCCCGGTGCTAGTCCCGGTCCCGGTGCTAGTCCCGGTCTCAGTTCCAGTCCTGGTCCCGGTTCCCTTCCCGGTCCTGGTGACCCAGAGCCGGTGTCCATAACCCCAGTCCCGGTCCCGGTTCCATTCCCGGTTCCAGTCCCATTCCCGGTTCCATTCCCGGTCCCGTTCCGCCCCGCGATGTACTCGGCGGGCGCGGCGGGCGCGGCGGCGGCGCGGCGGCGGCGGCCATCACCGCGCTCTGCACCGCGCTGGCCGAGCCCGCCTGGCTGCGCATCCACGGCGGCACCTGCGCCCGCCAGGAGCTGGGCGTGGCCGACGTGCTGGGCTTCGTGCAGCCCGAGCTGCTGCGAGGTGAGCGCCGCGGCTGCCGAGCCTTCCGGAACCTTCCGTCCCTTCTGTGCCCTTCCGGAACCTTCCGTGCCCTTCCGGAACCTTCCGTCCCTTCCGGAACCTTCCGTGCCCTTCCAGAACCTTCTGTGCCCTTCCGTCCCTTCCATCCCTTCCGGAACCTTCTATCCCTTCCAAACCCTTCCGTGCCCTTCTGTCCCTTCTGGAACCTTCCATCCCTTCCAGACCCTTCTGTGCCCTTCCGTCTCTTCCGGAACCTTCCATGCCCTTCCATGCCCTTCCGTGCCCTTCCATCCCTTCCAAACCCTTCCGTGCCCTTCTGTCCCTTCTGGAACCTTCCATCCCTTCCAGACCCTTCTGTGCCCTTCCGTCTCTTCCGGAACCTTCCATGCCCTTCCATGCCCTTCCGTGCCCTTCCGTCTCTTCCGGAACCTTCCATGCCCTTCCGTGCCCTTCCATCCCTTCCAAACCCTTCCGTGCCCTTCTGTCCCTTCTGGAACCTTCCATCCCTTCCAGACCCTTCTGTGCCCTTCCGTCTCTTCCGGAACCTTCCATGCCCTTCCGTGCCCTTCCATCCCTTCCAGACCCTTCTGTGCCCTTCCATCCCTTCCGGAACCTTCCATCCCTTCCATGCCCTTCCGTGCCCTTCCATCCCTTCCAGACCCTTCTGTGGCCCTCTGTCCCTTCCAGAACCTTCTGTGCCCTTCCATCCTTCCTGAACCTTCCATCCCTTCCACAACTTTCTGTGGGTCCCTTCCAGACCCTTCTGGAACCTTCTGTGTCCCTCCATCCCCTTCCAAGCCCTTCCAGACCCTTCCGTCCCCTCCATCTCCCTCTGTCCCTCCCTCCCCATTCCCGCGGAATTTCCCGTTCCCATTTTTCCAGCCTTGCTCCTCCCCCTCGGGCACAGGGACTCATCCCTAATTAACGAGTCACCCCTAATTAATAAGTCACCCCTAATTAACGAGCTATTCCTAATTACAGGAAATGCCTCAAAGGGGTATTTGCATCTAAAGGAACATTTGGATTTGTTCCCCCCAAAATCCCAAAAAAATCTCCCAAAAAATCTCCCCAAAATCCCCAAAATTCCCCTTTTCCTCCCCAAGTCTTCAATTTTTTTAGGGGCAAAAAATCAGATTTTTTTGGCAAAAAATCAATTTTTTTTCTGCAGAAACTCCGATTTTTTTGCTGAAAAATCAGGTTTTTTTGTTAAAAAAATCCATTTTTTCTTTCCTCTAATCCCATTTTTTCCCTTTTTTCCCTTTTTTCCCCCCAGATTTCTGCATGAACCCGCAGACGGTGCTGCTGCTGCGGGTCATTGCTGCGTTCTGCTTCCTGGGCATCCTCTGCAGCCTCGGCGCTTTCCTGCTCGACGTCTTCGGGCCCAAACACCCGGCCCTGAAAATCACGCGGCGCTACGCCTTCGCCCACATCCTCACAGGTGGGGTCACCCCAAGGAAACCACCAAAAATCCCCCCAGAATTAAAAAAAAAAAAGTGGTCAAATTCCACCCAAAAATCACCCAAAAATTAAAAAAAAAAGTGGTGAGATTCCCTCCCAAAAATCCCCAAAAAATCCCACAAAAATTAAAAAAAGCGCGGCAGAATTCCACCCAAAAAACTCCCTCAAAATCCCCTGGAAATTAAGAAAAAAAAAGCAACAAATATCCCCATTTTTCCCCCATTTTTCCCCAATTCAACCCATTTTTTCCATGTTTTTTCCCATTTTTCCCCAATCCAACCCATTTTTTTCCATGTTTTTTCCCATTTTTCCCAATCTAACCCATTTTTCCCATTTTTCCAGTTCTCCAGTGTGCCACGGTGATCGGGTTCTGCTCCTGGAGACCCCAGGCCCCAATCCCCCCCCCAGTTTTACCCATTTTCTGATGGTTTTCTCCTTGTTTTTTCCTGTTTTTTCCCATTTTTCCCCAATCTAACCCAACTTTTCCATGTTTTTTCCCATTTTTCCCCAATGTAACCCAACTTTTCCATGTTTTTCCCCATTTTCCCCCAATCTAACCCAACTTTTCCATGTTTTTTCCCATTTTTCCCCAATGTAACCCAACTTTTCCATGTTTTTCCCATTTTCCCAGTCCTGCAGTGCGCCGCGGTGATCGGGTTCTGCTCCTGGAGACCCCAGGCCCCAATCCCCCCCCAGTTTTACCCATTTTCTGATGGTTTTCTCCTTTTTTTCCCGTTTTTCCCCAATCTAACCCAACTTTTCCATGTTTTTTCCCATTTTCCCAGTCCTGCAGTGCGCCACGGTGATCGGGTTCTGCTACTGGGCCTCGGAGCTGCTGCTGGCTCAGCAGCAGCAGCACAAGAAGTACCACGGCTCCCAGGTGTTCGTCACCTTCGCCGTCAGCTTCTACCTGGTGGCCGGCGCCGGCGGCGCCTCCATCCTGGCCACGGCCGCCAACCTGCTGCGGCACTACCCCAGCGAGGAGGAGGAGCAGGCCCTGGAGCTGCTCTCCGAGATGGAGGAGGCCGAGCCCTACGGCCCCGACTACGAGGTGGTCAACCAGTTCCAGCCGCCGCCCGCCTACACGCCGTGATGGCGGTCAGCGGGGCGGTGGCTGCCGTGATGGCGGTCACCTTGATCCTGGTCACCATGATCGTCATCATGATGGTGCTCACCTTGATCCTGGTCACCATGATCATGGTCAGCGGGGTGGTGGCCACCATGACTGTGGTCACCTTGATCCCGGTCACCATGATCATGGTTGTCATGATGGTGGCCACCTTGATCCCGGTCATCGTGATCATGGTTGTCATGATGGTGGCCACCATGATGGTGGTCACCTTGATCCCGGTCACTGTGATCATGGCCACCATGACTGTGGTCACCTTGATCCCGGTCACCATGATCATGGTCGTCATGATGGCGGCCACCATGATGGTGGTCACCTTCATCCTGGTCACCATGATCATGGTCAGCATGGTGGTGGCCACCATGATCATGGTCACCTTGATCCCGGTCACCATGATCATGGTCACCGTGACTTTGGTCACCTTGATCCTGGTCACCGTGATCATGGTCAGCGTGGTGGTGGCCACCATCATTGCGGTCATTGTGATCCCGGTCATTGTCATGGTGGCCACCATGATCATGGTCGTCATGATGGTGGCCACCATGACTGTGGTCACCATGGTTGTGGTCACCTTGATCCCAGTCACCATGATCACGGTCACGGTGGCCACCACGATCGCGGCGGATCGAGTGCACGGAGAGGCCGGATCGTCGCGGGGTGTGGGAGGGTTGGTTGGGGTGATGTCGGGAGATCTTCCAGGAGAAGATTTGTCCAGGTGGATCCCAGGAACTCTTTCGACGAAGGATTTGTCCAGGTGGATCCCAAGAGATCTTCCAGCAAAGGATTGGTCTGGATGGACACGGGAAGTTCTTCCAGCGAAGGATTTGTCCAGATGGATCCCAAAAGTTCTTCCAGCGAAGGATTTCTCCAGGTGGATCCCAAGAACTCTTTCAGCTTTGGACAGATCCTGGAAGTTCTTCCAGGGGAGGATTTCTCCAGGTGGATCCCGGGAGCTCCTCAGGGGCCTCGATCCCGGAGTTGGTTCCGTGGCTCCGGACTGGTTCGGACGCCGGGGAGAAGGTTGGGATCTCCTGCTCCAGGTGGGTTTTCCTTGGAATGTGGGGAGTGGGATCCACCTGGACTGAGAACTTTGGGATCCCCAGTTCCCAATGGATCAAGGAACTTTGGGATCCTCACTTCCCAATGGAATGAGAACTTTGGGATCTGGAATTACCCATGGATTGAGAACTTTGGGATCCCCAATTCCCTGTGGATCAAGAACTTCGGGATCCACCATTCTCCATGGACTGAGGACTTTGGGATCTGGAATTCCCAACGGATTGAGAACTTTGGGATCCCCAATTCCCTGTGGATCAAGAACTTCGGGATCCACCATTCTCCATGGACTGAGGACTTTGGGATCTGGAATTCCCAATGGATCCAGAACTTTGGGATCTGGAATTCCCAATGGATCCAGAACTTTGGGATCCCCTGGACTGAGAACTTTGGGATCCCCAATTCCCAATGGAATGAGGACTTTGGGATCTCCGTGGATCCAGAACTTCGGGGTCCCCAATTCCCACCAGACCCCAAACTCTGGGATCCCCAGCCCGGCCCCTCTCCAGCTCAGCCCCCCCTTTTCCCACGGGAATATTTCTCCCCCTATTTAAAATTTGGGAATTCCCATCCCCGCTGCCCTTCCCCCCCATGGACATTCTGCACTTTATTCCAGGCTCTGGGAATTCCGGGATCGCCTCCGGGGGTTTTATTTTGGGATCATCCCACAAAATTTGGGAATTTTTGGCCTCCCGGGAACTCGGGATGAGCCCTGCTGGAAAATCCCGGAGCTTTTATGCAAATCCCTCCACTCCCATCCCACTTTTTCCCCACAAAATTCCCAATTTTTTCCCCGCTCTGATTTTTCCCAGAAATTTTTTTTGGGAGGAAAAAAAAAAAAAAAAAATCCAGTCAGGATTGAAATTCCCAACAAAATTCCCATTCCTGGAACGCTTGGGCTTGGAGGGGATTTTTTAGGGAATCTCCTGAATTTTTAGGGAATTTTAACCCCAGGATCCGACTCCTCAGAGGTCCTGCTGCTTTTATCCCCATTTTCCCGCTTTTATCCCCATTTTCCTGCTCTTTTTTCCCTTTTTTTCCCATTTTTTCTTCCCCCTGGCTATGCAAGAGCTCCCCCGGGAGGGAAATCCCAGAAAAATCCTGGAAAAATAAAAATCCCCGGGAAAAAAAATTCTCGGGAAAGGCTCGAATGGACCCTGAAAACCCCCGGGGAGAATCCCGGGATTTGGGATCCGCCGGGAAAGGCTTCGGGATTCCCTGGATATGCAAAGAGGGCGCCAATAAATCTGTGACAAATGGGATTTTCCGGAGAGAATTCCCAAAAAAACCCCGGGGATGGGAGGAGGGAGGGCGGCGCTGCCCAGGGCTTTGGGATTTGGGAATGAAGGGGTGGAAAGGGGTGGGGGTCGGGAGTGGGAGGGGGTGGATCCCAAAAAACCGGGCTGGATCCCAAAAATCCCGCCCGGGATTCCCCGCTGGGGGCGTGGCCCCGCTCAAGCCCCGCCCCAAACAGCCCCACCCACCTGAGCCCCGCCCCTTTTCGCCCTTGCCGCGCCCTTTTCCGGTCTCGTGCACTGGTGGGCGTGGCTTCCTTCTCTGCAGCCAATCACCGCGCAGGGCGGCGCTGCACGGACCAATGGGAAGGCCGGAACCGCCCAGACCCCCACAGCGCCCCATAACAACCCCAGAAACCCCCAAAAATCCCCAAAATCCCCCAAAGAGCCCCAACCCCCCCCCGCCCCCACGGCTGCTCGGGGGCGTGGCCACGCTCAAGCCCCGCCCACCGCTTCGCCCCCGTCTCCCGTCCGCCCTCACGCCCCTTTCCGGTATCACGCGCTGGTGGGCGTGGCTTTATCCCTTCCAACCAATCACCGCGCGGGGCGGCGCCGTGCCGACCAATAGGGGCGCGGCGCGGGGCGATGACGCGCTGGAGCGCGACGCGCGGCGCGGCGGGGCCGGCATGTGGCGGCCGCTGGCCGCGCTCGCCGCCCGCGGGGCCACCGGAGGCACCG